TCAAGAGCCTATTACGCGTGCCAGCTAGAGGAGTTTCTTGTTTAGCTCAAGCAGTCAAGACTCACGCTTTAGTCTGCTAGAGGTCCTTGCTTTCAAACCTTGCTGGTGAGACGTGGGATTGCTAAATACACAGCACTTTGCACTGAGTAGGATTATGCAGGGTCACTTCAGGACACTGTCCCGCCATAATTTAAGAGGGCAAAGAGCCCAAAACACAATGTTTGTTAGCATTTTCCATTATCAGGCGAGAAGTTGGGAAAGTCAAGAGGGAGCTACTCTATGTAAAAAGGTGAAACTGACTGGCATCAAGTTAAGGAGCAGATCACGTCTCCACAAAAAATACAAAGTTTCTACTATGAAATGCTAGCACCAAAAAATAGTATAAGCTACACGATTACTTCTCTTATTGTATGTATATGTACCACCCCGGGGTGGGTCACCAGCTGTCAGGACCAAAGGTAGGACCTCTGGATCTATAAGCGTAAGACTCTACTGCCTGAGCTAAAAGACCCAGGCCCTGTTATCTCAAAGCCAGCAGCAGATCCAAACCTCTAAGTGGTCCAGCCGTTAGAGTAGACGGAGAACCATGGTAAAAATGGGTTACACATGTACCAGAGTGAGGAGTTGTTTCACTTTAACTGCCTCCCCCCTTATTTTGGCAAATAAATCCAATGAATTTAAAGGGCAATAAACTTCAATCACAGTCAGAGAATTAAGCCAAGCTAGAAGCCATGTGGTACAATAAAGGCCTAAGCCCAGAATACTAAGGCCTGGTCCACACTAACCTCCCACTTCGGACTAAGGTACGCAAATTCAGCTACGTTAATAACGTAGCTGAATTCGAAGTACCTTAGTCCGAACTTACCGCGGGTCCAGATGCGGCAGGCAGGCTCCCCCGTTGATGCCGTGTACTCCTCTCGCTGAGCTGGAGTACCGGCGTCGACAGCAAGCACTTCCAGGATCGATCCGGGATCGATTTATCGCATCTAGACAAGACACAATAAATTGATCCCAGAAGATCGATCGCTTACATCCGGACCAGGAAGTAAGTATAGATGTACCCTAAGTTTCTGAAATTCTGTGATTGGACAAAACAAATCAGATATTAAAGGTACATTTCATTATCAGCCTAGGGTAACCTAACATGGCAAATAGTTTTCTAAATATTTCTAGCATATTAATCACCACACAGAAATACTGAAAGTGATACTTCACTAATTTACGTTTTTGCAAGAGGTCTGGAGCTGTATACACACTTAGAACTTGATCTTTATGCCAATTATAAAAACTTTGATGCAATTCTGCTATTTTACATTTGGTCAGGTTTTCAAAGGGCAATGATGCACAAGTCTAAATCCAAGACCTCAGCTCCTGGAAGAAATAATACTTCACCCCTCTTGGAAACCAGTCATCTCTGTGCCAAGACTCATTTATCACAGAGCTGCATTTGGCACTTTACAGCAAAGATGCACTGTATCAAGCCTGTAATTACTATTTAACAAGGGTCAAATTCTGCCCTCATATTCGTGCTACTTCACTTAAGTCAGTGGAATTGAGTGGCTGGAGTGACAGAACACAACTTGACCTTCTGATTAAACCTTAGATTATGCAGAAACCAACATGGCATTTTATACACAATAAATATATTGGCTCTTTCCGCTGTAGATTTGAGAGCGTGTCCAAAGTAACTCCTCAGTTGAAGAAAGGCTGAGCTGGGCAAACAGCAAGGGTTTTTAAAGCATTTAATATTTTAAATGTTAATTTGTTATAGTCTAGAATTTCTCTATTTTAGCAACGAAGATTAGTGTCCAAAGACAAGACTAAATAGCAATGTTGAATTTTTTTTCCCCTAAAACAGGGGTTCAGCCAATCCAGATGATACAGTTTAAAATTTCAAGACTTATTTTTAAATAAATTGGAGCATGTAGTTTTGCCCATTTTCAGTCCATTTTCCCAGTTATGCAAAGTCCAAGTTCCTCAAATAATTGAGCTCAATTCAAGCACCACATGACCCTGAAATCAGGATGATTGCTGTTCATTTGTACGTTGACTTGTTTAGACATGAAAACTCATCCATTATGTCCATCTGAATCAGAAAACCAAGAACATAATTTAGAAAATGAATATGCCAAAGCTCTAAGGAATGCCAAGCATGAATGCTTGTTCTTCCACTATACCGCACAAAAGATGACTCAAATTCTTGCGAAGCTCTCAGAGAAGAAAGGGGGTTTCGGTTACCATTTGAAATAATGCAAGAAGAAATAATTATCTGGTAGCTACCTTAAAAGAATGAGGAGATGAGGACTGCACATGCTATTAAAGAAGTAGATTGGATATTGGGCCATGCTCATGCTAAAAACAGCCTGGAAACAGGACCAACTCCCACCGAGATTTGTCTCTAAGCCAAGTTCAGCAGTGATGTGTAGAACCAGGGGCAGCTCTAGCTTTTTTGCCGCCCCAAGCACGGCAGGCAGGCAGGCTGCCTTCGGCGGCATGCCTGCGGGAGGTCCCCGGTCCCGCGGATTCAGCAGCATGCCTGTGGGAGGTCTGCCGGTCCCGCGGATTCGGCGGCATGCCTGTGGGAGGTCCGCTGGTCCCGCGGATTCGGCGGCATGCCTGTGGGAGGTCCGCCGGTCCCGCGGATTCGGCGGCATGCCTGTGGGAGGTCCGCCGGTCCCGCGGATTCGACGTACCCGCCGCCAAATCCGCAGGACGGTGGACCTCCCCCGCAGGCAAGCCACCGAAGGCTGCCTGACTGCCGCCCTCGCAGGGACTGGCAGGGCGCCTCCCCGCGGCTTGGAGCACTGGTGGCTGGAGCCACCGCTGTGTAGAACGTAAGTTACAAATCTTTGTGTGAGTTGCGCCTGTTTATGCCAGAACTGGTCCACAGGTAGCATTAAATTGCAGTAACATATTTTTGCACTCCATCAAATGCCAGATCAGTGCAAGTTACATTACTTTACTGCTCACACCTGATGCATAAGTTACACCATTAACATCAGCAATTCCTTTTGCCTACTGACTAGGAGTCCATTGCAAAATCCAACATGACTGCAATGCAAAAGGATCTTCATATATGACCTCAGGATTGTTTATTGGCAAAAAGAGAGAGGAGATTCTGAATGCAAGAACAATGGTCAAATACACAGTAATGTGACATAAAAGCTATTTTGTAAAGTAAACAGATGTGCATGTGGCAGGGTGTTGGGCAAGAATTGCTGACTCAGCCCTCTGTCACGCCAGCCCCCATTAAGGGATGTAAATTGGAGCTGGCTAGAGAAAACCTGCAACTAATTGGGAGACAGCTGCCCGCCCAGTTATCCTGGGGCTATATAAAAGGCTGGGAGGAAGGAAGCCGGGGGAGGAGCGAGGGAGTGGAGGCAGAGCGATAGCTCTTCCCTCCTGGGCGCAGACACTAGAACCCAAGCGGTGTATGGTGAAAAGACGGTGGAAGCACAACTTGTAAATAAACGGCACCAGTGGTTACTGAAGCCCAGGGCCTCGGAGTGACTTTGTCAGCACAACAGGGGCAGGAGCCAAGCCCCCCGCTACGGTGCGTAATTGTCATTTTACAGATAGAAAGACGAAGGCTGACAAGTTGAGATTTATTCAAGGCTGCACTGAGTCAATGGAGAGTTGGAATAAAACTTAGCAGGCCCTGGATTTGTCTCAGATTCACAAACAATTCTGGTGACTCGTTATACATTATGGCAGTGAGACAATGGAAAAACAAGAATTGTGCTACAGTATCTTAAGGATTCTCTTTGGAAAATATTTAAGTGTGAAAGTTTTAAAAGTAGTTAATATAATTAAAATGATGGCTCAAGGCTTTTGAAGTTTGTACGACCCCGCTCTTTCAAGCGGTTAAAGAAAACTGCTACAATGCTGGAATAGCACAAAGCATATCTATTGCTGCTTTGGGGAGTTTTCATTTAACTAGTGGTTTATGTGGGGGCTACTTTAAACCAGAACAGTTCTTGAGATATCTGTACAATGAAGGGCATAGATAAACCTACAGCTGAGGGGTTGAGAGGAGCGATTACTCAATAGATGCATAATGGGTTAGAAACGTGAAGGCTCCATTTGTAGACTGAATCTACCCACTGGCCAATTTTTGCTCCTGTGTCATGTATGCATCCAAATGCAGAATTTCACCCAGTGAACAGCCAATGTGCTTCTGAGTCTCCTATTCTGCTCATTGATCGTACTCAACAAATGTTTGTTCGATGCAGCGCAGCGGATGAAAAATGCAGGAAGAGTGCCAGAGCACAATAGCTAAATTTAACATACCTGAAAAATGCAGGCTAGAAAAGAAAGGAGAAATGCTATTACATTTCCAGTTCCCTCGTGGTCTTCCTGTTTGGGGGAAGATAAAGAAGAGTTTAAGAGTTACTGAGTTTTAGTTGACGCAAAGTGCTGCTTGACATTTTATATAGGTACATTCTATAGAAGTACTTAGTACCACAGTAGAATGAGACTATCATAATTTCAGACAACAAAGTCAGACTGGAGTTAAATCAATATTCATTGAACAAAATACTGGAAATTGAGATGTATAGATCAATTTATGCCACAAAATAAAAACTGCAAAACACTAAATGATTTAGATTTTTTTTTTTTAAAAAGAGGTACTTTATGCTGATTCCACAATACATTTTCTAAATGGTATAAAAATGCACCATCTGAAGAAACACATGCAATTTATCAAAACAGACATTTTAAAGTGGGACAATATGTCCACATAAAACGCTTCCAGGATGTCAAAAGTAAGATTCTCCTCCACCTTTCAAATGAACTACATCACTCCACTCCCTCCAGGGAAAAAAGATTTTGCAACGTGCCCTGAAGCTCAAAAAATTCAGGCTCTGACAGATCAGAGTGCATGAAGTATATTCCTTCATCTGAATCAAGCTCTCCGGATAAACAAAGCATAACAACTTGAAAAGTTATGGTGTGCAATAACCACCGATGATCGGATACTTATAGAACTCTAATCCTCCCCTCCCTGCCCCCACACTACAACTCAAAAGTCAATAAAAGGTTACCTGAAAAGAATACTCTGCTAGATGAACTCCTCGAATGAGGTTCAAAGCCCCACACATGATGTTGAGAACAAGGGACAGAATCCCCAAAGGAGTCACAGGTTGCATTCTGTAGGTAGGGGCTTCAGACAATTAAAAAAAAAGAGAGACTATTGAAAATTAATTCCAATTACCGTATATACTCGATCATAAGCCGGTTCGTTTATAAGCCAACCCCGCCGCCAAGATGGATAAGTAAAAATGGAAATTTTTTATAACCAGTTCATAAGCCGACCCTTGTCTCTGGTGCTTCCCATTTTTAGTAAAAGTCGGCTTATGAACGAGTATATATGATGCTTCATTCCTTTTTCATAAGGTAACTCAAATTCAGTGGAATTGTGGGCTTTATATTCAAGGCCTTGTGTACACTCTGGCAAGATGGACTTTAATTTTGTGGCAAGGCGCCCACAGTTTCTGTTCCACTCCATTGCTGAATTCTCAGGGCACCTGGAAATTCCACAGCAGCTACCAATAAACTGAAGTGATTTTTAATGGACTGAATGATACAATCAGTCCATTAGCACTTGCATTATGCATCTGGATATTAAGTGTCACTTATTTTATGCCACACCTACATTTTCAATTGTCAGCATGCTACAGATTTTTGTATTGCAGACACTTCACTTCCTTGTCAGCAGAAAAGCCGGAGGTTTTGGCATCCAAAAGTCATGGCAGGTGGCTTACAGTTCTGGCACCCAAGAAGCAGTTACAGCTTTTGACACTGAGAGGGGAAGTATCTCCTCTTTGCTGCTCCTTGTGGGCAGAGAGGACTTTACACATAGGGACGGAAAGGAGCTTTAACTCTTAGGGTGCATCTACACTGCAGGATTCTTTTGGCAGCTTGTAGTATACATACGTGCATAGGCCTTCCAGCACGGGCATCTATAGCAGCATAGACATGTTCTCTACTGGCCCAAGCTGTGCCTCCCACCTACATTGCAGCGTCCCACTGCGGAGCTCTTCCACACTGCAGGGAAAGGCTCCAGCAGCAAGGAGGTAGCATGGAAAGGCTCCAGTAGCTCCCCGCTGCTGAAGCCCTTCCCTGCAGTGGAGAAAGGCACCAGCAGAAGGGAAAAGGCTCAGCATTTCCCCACTGCTCCCCCTTTCTAGAGTACTTCCTCCCTGCAGTGACAGGCTTGGCAGCAGGGAGCAGCTGAAGCCTTTCCATACTGCCTGCCCTCTGCCAGAGACTTTCACCGCAGTGAAAAGCACACCGTGTCCACTCTGCACAGCTACACCAAAAGTGGTGTGATGTGTAGACGTAGCTTTAGTTCCTGACCCCAGCGAACCCTCGACAACAGCTGCACTGCTGGTACCCACATCCAACATCGATGGTTTCAGCACCTTATCTGCCAACATTAACCTGCCCTTAGGCTTCAGAAGGAACTCCAGCACTGAGATGAGTACGCTAAGTTCACACCTCAAATAGTGGGCTCCAATTCTCTCTTACACCAAGATCCCCTAGATGCAAGAAAGAAGAGAAGGGTCATCCAGGAGTCTCCCCCGTTCTTACGATGTTCTGGCCTCAGCCCAGATATAACCAGTAGCTGGCTGTTATCCCCAGACTGTGTAGCATAGAGGAGCTCCACATTGCACCCTCACCAACCACTCCTGGCTGGGGAAGCGGGGGGGGACAGAGGCAGCTGGCGCAGGAGGTAGCTCCACTAGCTTTTATGCCAGCGGAGAATTCCGCTCCACCAGGTTGGGTCTCAGTTCAGCAGCTGCAACTGGATTCCTAAGGTAGCAAAGAGCCTGCAAGCAGGGGAGATAATGTGCAGCAACATTTTATGCTCATTGCAGCTTCAGGAAGATTAAACAAACTAGACAAGTTTCAGAGGGGGGCTGTGTTAGTCTGTATTAGCAAAAACAACCAGGAGTCCTTGTGGCACCTTTGAGACTAACACATTTATTTGGGCATAAGCTTTTGTGGTGTTTTTTCTACTCCGTGCATCTGATGAAGTGGGTTTTAGCCCACGAAAGCTTATGCCCAAATAAATGTGTTAGTCTCTAAGGTGCCACAGGGACTCCAAAATAGACAAGGTTTTCCTTATACCCATAAGGGCTAGAAACTTATTTATAAAACAGCAGAGGATGGAATTCCAATCATGAAAAATACAGAATACCCAATTACATATTTGAGCATTATATAAATCTATACAAAAAGTTTAAATATTAACTTTGTTAATATCAGACTTAAACACACAAGAGCAAGGAGTTAAGAGGCAGCAATTCCTTTATTGGAAGGGCCTCAGAACCAGAAGTGATCTTCCTCCACCTCAAAAATACATACTAGTAGCAATATAAGGATGCAAAAATAGGATGATGTACGTTTTATAGCACCTTTAATCCAGCTGTCTCAAAATGCAGTACAAATATTACACCTCCCCAGGACAGGAGCTCTCCTATAGGGTAAATGCGTATCATCGCATTTCACTAAAGAGTGAAATGCAGCCACTGCTGGGATGGAATGCAGCAGCTGTTTAATACAGCGATACTAAACAGTTTAAAGTAGGAAAGTCACCCACCTCGTTTTATTTTTATTATTAAAATAAAGGCTTGTCCTATAACTGAGGTTTCCTTGACAACGTAGGTTTACAGCAAGCTTCAATGCTACTTGAATACAGCGGTGTGAATTAGCGCTAATAAATGGCTAGGCAATTAACTCAATTGGCACTCCCGCACACACCTGCTTTTATCTCAGCCATTGCTGCAGCAGCAGTCACATTAATCTTGTTATGCAATATGCCAGCATCATGCAACATTAGTGTATAAAAGTTTCCACTGAAATCAACGGTGCAGGTATCTCAGTCATTTAAATACGACTTTGCATAATAAAAAACAGCAATGAAATTTAACATCTAAGTGACTCACTGAACAGCGTTTAGTCCGATAAGCAGCACCAGCAGGTTTTATTTTCTCAATGATCCGCACACATAGTTTACTGTACATTACTCTTGATGGATTAAGTTTTACTAAAATAAGCAATAGTGCATATTCCTCCCCCACACAATTCTCCCGAAAAGAGCATTGATTCTCCCTCCCTCGTCTAGCTATCCCGTGATCGCAAGTTGCCAAGTTTGTTCATGCAGACGACATGTGCCTTGGCACTCAGTCACATGCCTTTGACATACCTAAGGGTACATCTACACTACAGGGGGGAGTCGATTTAAGGTACGCAAATTCAGCTACGTGAATAGCGTAGCTGAATTCGACGTATCGCAGCCGACTTACCCCGTTGTGAGGACGGCGGCAAAATCGACTTCTGCGGCTTTCTGTCGACGGCGCTTACTCCCACCTCCGCTGGTGGAGTAAGAACGTCGATTCGGGGATCGATTGTCGCGTCCCAACGGGACGCGACAAATCGATCCCCAAGAGGTCAATTTCTACCCGCCAATTCAGGCGGGTAGTGTAGACCTAGCCTAAGAGAGTGTTCTAAACGCAGATATGGTGGCTATGACCAATTGTCGTCGGTTGCAACTGATACCAAGTGGAAGTAAGACTGTGTTGAGTCATCATGCACAAGTGGGCAGAGAGCTGAATATAGTTCTCAATGGTCAGCGAATAAAGCATGATTCACACCTGGTCTATCTAGGCGTTACATTGGATAGAACTCATATATCATGACCATTTTATAAAGAAAGCAACTAAGGTCAAAACACAGCAACCTGCTCAGAAAACTGTCCGTAATGACGTGGGGTGCCAAAGCCCAAACATGACGCACTTCAGCCGTGGCACTCTGTTATTCAGCGGCAGAGCATTGCACTCCAGTATGGGCTCACTTGTCTCTCACACAGATGATTGACATACTACTTAATTCCACCATGCGTATTATTTCAGGCCACTTAAATCTACTCCTCTACCATGGTTACTAGTTCTCTGCAATATTGCTTCACTCAGTGTTTGCAGAGAGGAGAGCGAAGCAAAGCTCATGACGACTCTCCATGATATGCCACATCCACTTGTTTAATCCACCACATGATCGTCTGCCCTCACATTGGCCGTTGTAGATAAGTTTACCAGGGGAGGGATTTACGGTAGAGGACACGTGGTGAGCGCCATGGTCTGCTGAGAAAGTGACAAATAATTATCTTGTCTTGGACCCCACTCAATGTCATCCTGGGTTTGATTTACCATGAAGGCAATGGAGCCTTCTGAACCAGTTTCGTGCTGGACATGGAATTTGCGCTGCAGTGAAATTTCAGTGGTATTTTACAGACAGTCCACTATGTCAATGTGGGCAGCCACAAACTATGACACATATTGTTGAGGACTGCAAAACGACAACTTCCTGGAGGTCTTCGTGCCTGGAACGTCGTTAATAAGAATGCCGCAGCTTGGCTTGACCAGACTGCATATGTCAAATAAATAAATATGTTGCCAAGATTCACTTCAGAGTCAATCAGTGTTTCCCTTTAAAACAAACAGGAATTGTCAATAACTAATAAGAGTCATTCTTCCCTGCTTGAAGTAAGCGTATCATCAGCTTCCAGTCCCCAGTGAGAAACTATGGAAGCAACATATTGGGACTTGAATATGAAGAAGAAAAGTTTGGAAAATTTACAAATTAGAAGTTCTATACAGGAGGCAATAAGCGTTAATATCATGGGAGAAAAAAAAAGAGTGGAGATTGCTATGCCTGATCATCTGGGGTTGGTTTATTTCTGACTTTATACCCCAAGACAAAAGTTTTCATTTCCTTTTATTCCTATATAAAGTCTTAGGCATTACCCACTCATAAAAGCTGTACCACTTACAGTGGTATGGCTTATTCCCATATTTAAGAGAATAAACCAGGTCAGTATAAGTATCCTTATACCAGTATAACTACAACCACATTAGGGGTAATACTGATGTAGCTATTTCAAAATCAAACCCATAACGGAAATAGTTAAGTTGGTACATAAATTGTGTGGACCTGGCCTTTGAGAATCAGAGTTTGTTCCGTCCTTAGCAGCAACAGTTTGTGCATTTCTCCAGGGGACTATACAATCCCGCAAAACCGTTCACTAAGTAACGGGCAGAAGTTTCACTCAAGATTTTTCCAAACTGACTCCCTCAGCCTATTTAACTGGAGATAGAATGGAATTTGCAGCAAACAGTAATGGCTATTTCCTCAGGGCATTGTACAAATAGTTGGCTGCCAAGGAGCCAAGCAGAGAAATAAGGCTGACAGAGAGCTCCAAGTCAATGCATGATCTTCAGCAGTATGAAATTAGACTCAGACATTTCCATTTAAAAATAAGTGAGGTATTTTAAATCTGAAAAACACTTGTATTACGATCTCATCTTAAGAAAACATAATTATGCTTTAAATACGACCTGTAAAGCTGTTCAGGAGACTTGTGGTGTTCATTCAGGAGAACACAATGCTGCATAGCTTATTACCATGTTTACCAGACAATTAGGACAAGATGTTTTTCCATTTCATAAATACCATTTCTGTATCTGCCTAGGTTGGAAATGTTCTCTCCTCTCCACATCAACTATTTACAACATTTCTTAAGGGCCCAGTCTCTTCCAGAACTTCACCCGCTATATAAACACCGTCAAGATAGGAGTTACGCTTTCCAGTAAGACAATGGCGACCACACTGACCAAAGGAACAATGCTAGCACCTTGCTAGCAAGAAGTGGGTTCAAGCATTGTTCTTTAGCATGGCGCAAAAGGGGTTCTCTCTGGCCAGAGTAAATCGGGAGGAGATGGCTAGACTATGCTCACCTTTCCTATATTAGAAATGGGGAGTCAGAGGATCTGGTCACAGTATGGTTACAAAGTGTAGATAGGGAGGTGGTTAGTTCCTATGACAAGACTAAAGCCTTGGACAGTACACATTTTTACCTGTTTACGAGGACATGATTAGGTCCTGTCTCTACTATATCTTTCAACCTTATTGTAATCAGATCACCTGGCTTTGTGTTGTCACTAAGTTTCCTGACTAGTATAGCTGTAGTGTAGATTAAAGTCTTAGTTCCCTTCTAAGAAAGGACAAGCAAATTTTGGAGGCAGTAGAATGGGATTCAGCCACTGCTTCTGTTAATGACAGAAAATGAAAGACCGAGATCCAGACAAAAGCCAGAAAAGCGGAGTCAAGCAGCGGTAGACAGATGAGGCTGAAAATGGTTCTTACAATAAGGATGAAACAATATGTATGAGTATCTGGGTTAGACCACTGAAGAGAGCCAGAGGTACAAAACTAGATGGAAAACGGAAGTAAGTAATAAAGAATACGGAGGTTATGAGAACTGAATATTTAGTTCTGATCATTTGTTCAGGTCTAGCGTGGAAATATTTACTGGTCTTGAAAGCATCTGTACTAGTTCAAAGTATTTCTAAGCCTGGCAAGTCATAAGATATTGTCCCTTCACATGTGATTCTGAAAACTGATCACTAATATAACTTGCCAATCAAATCTGCTTCGTTTATAAATAAAACAATGGGGTTTTTTTGTTAGCCCTACAGATTCACCCTGAAAGAGGCAAGTCAAGCTGTATTCTAAGTTTTTGCATAGTAAGATGATACTGAAAAACAAATAGATACATTTTAAAGTGTTTGTTATACAATGTTAGATATGTGAAACCTCTCAATATGATATTTAGGTAGATGTTTATCATAACTGTAAGATAGCTTTAATTCTGTTTTTTTACTTACAGCAACTTTAAATGTAAGCTGTTATCTTGCCTGGCTACTGGGGAAGAGGGAAAGGTGAAATGCCGTGAAACAATTCAAGATGGATAATCTTAAGTGAGACATCACCCTGCGGTCTCAGAGATATTTATTCTTTGAATCATTTTCTCCCTTAAGCTAAAATAAATCTTCTAGACTGGAAATATATTTTGGGTCTTTGTTTATGGAACATATGATATAATGAAGCTCTTTCTCTTAAAGAAAATTAAAGCCTCAACTTGCTTAAATGCAAAGGAATGTGCAATTCGTAATTCCAGTCATAACGAACTTCCATAGAGAAAATGATTGATGGTTAAAGATGAACTACTATAAGTACTTCATTAGTTTCATTATGTATCTGCTATAACACAAGGGTTTATGTCCTCTTCATGATGATGAAAAAGCTAGCCTTGAACAAGAACTATTTGTCTGAGGTTTATATATGTTAACATGGGTTTCTCATTTCAGAAAAACACAACTGGGATTTTTAACTATTCATCATAGGCTTAAAAAGGTAGTCATCAGAAGAAACCTGTATTGTTGACATTGAAAAAAACTTTGCATACCAATAACTTACCAGACCCCATCTGCACTTCTGTGTGCCCGTTAATCATCCCGTTCATCAGCTCTGTATCCTCTAGTTTCAGAAGCACAGGAGGATGGGACTTCAGCTCTTCCTGAATTTTCTCCAGGCTGTTCTTCATTTGAGAGCAGCTTGTGTAGTTGAAATGGTATTTCACTTTCTGAATAATATTATCTATAAGAGGGTATCAAGAAATATTTTAATTAAAACACTGGATTGTTAATGAGCTAACTGATATCCCGGACCTTCCTATCCCTTTTTTTAACCTTAATTGTAGCATATCTAAAATGTTATTGGTTACTGTTTGGGTCAAATACTTTGCTTTCTATTTGTTGTGTCAAGTACCGATCACACTTCTGGATGCTGTAACACACACACTCGCCATCCCAGATTTGCTTAAAACACAGCTTTACTCTGCACAGTAGAGATGACCTAACCATGGTTTAACAAGGTCTATAAATCACAATGAAGCCTTGAATGCTGTAACGTCCCATCTACTCCGCAAGACAGAATTGTATTTTAAACAGTGCCGGGAATTTTAGTTTTACAGTGCAAGATGGGACCTACTATTCAAAGTCACAGCAACAACTTCTCAGACCAGGATGCAGAGGGATTTTCCTGAGACTTGTGCTACAAATGACTCGGACAAATATTCCATAGTTAGATTTTATAACAGCGTTCTCATACAAAAATATCCCTCTCCACAGGTTTGAGTCAAGTTGCAGAGCACTAAAACTACAACCTACAGTAGCATCTCAGTAACAATCATGCACATCTCCAGAGCTGGAGCTCCCCATTACAGATATTGCTAGCTGTTCTCTAGCCTCGCTTACTTGCTTATCTCTATACTATGAAGAGTGGAAGTTTTGTTACTCATGATTATTATAAAAAATAATGTAATGAAGCAAATTAAATATAGAAGCAGATTTATAAAGAGATCTGTTTTTTTTAAGTGAAGTAAAAAAAAAATCTTAACTTAAAAGGCAATACATCCAAACAGTAAGTTACAACATATAATTTAGGTTGATGGCAGATCCTACTGAACTGCAAGACTATACCCAGAGTACACAGCATCAGGCAAAGATAAGGGATTTCAAGCAACAACTACAGGGATCATATTAACGTTGCAATATTCCAAGAGTTAAACTGTTACAAAGATCAATAACTACTAAGGCAACAGTTCAGATCTTGCAATTTATTCAGTGCAACTTAGATCTAGAAGAATGTATAAAAGATCATGCAAAAACATAAGAGGGGAGGGAAACAGGATACTGAAAATGAAAAATGCAAGGAACCAAAACTTTTGCATTTTGTTTTTTTTGTACATTGCCAATGTGAGATTAAAATAAACTAGAAATCCCTAGCCAAAATGCAGGAGAAACAACAAAATGCAAATTTCAACACAGATTTATGAAGAAATTAGAATGTGGCTGGCCGTCAATTCACTCACAACGCAAGAACTGCTGCATACTGTAGTTTCCCTTTAAGCATCTCTTTCTTCTAAGCAGGATCTGAAATCTCTTGTTCAGAGCTGGACGTTAGTGTATTAACCTATTTCACCACCTACCCCTCACAGGGTATAGAGATCTCACTAATGGAACTAATCCTACAGAGCTAGTCATATTTTTCCAGAGATGTGATGTTCACAAGGAGCCCTAGTTGGTAGGTGGGGGAAAAAAAAAAAAAAGTACATTTATTTCTGTCAGGAATCACAGGTCAGAGAGGACACACGGTATGATCACAAAGTGCTACATGAACCTAAGCTATGTGGGAAGTGAAACGGTCTACCACACTGACCTGCGTCATCTCACTGTTTTCTGTGCTGCTCACACGATCTTTTTTCCAGTCTTGTCTTGTACTTAGATTGTAAACATTTTGGGGCAGGGACTGTCTTTTTGTTCTGTGTTTGTACAGCACCTAGCACAACAGGGCCCAGGTCTACGACTAAGACTCCTAAGAAATACCACAATAATAATATACAGTTTCATATTATTATATGAATATTTTTCGTACGCCCTTCTCCTGACACATAAAGCCACTCTGTACAATCAGGAATTAGCATGGTTCCTTGTCATTACCAACCTGTCCGCTAGTTTAATTATTTCAAATATGATGCTCTGTACAAAGGATTCTAACAGTAAAAGCTATATGCATCCGAAGAAGTGGGCTGTAGTCCACGAAAGCTTATGCTCTAATAAATTTGTTAGTCTCTAAGGTGCCACAAGTACTCCTGTTCTTTTAACAGTAAAAGAGTAAATCTACAAACCAAATTCAAGAAAAGCATAGGATCTGGTAGCCAAGCTTATGCTCGTAGAATCATATGAAGCAGAAAATTTCCACTGGAGCTCCTCCAGGAAACAAAATGCCATGACGGTTGGGCAACTACTGGTGCAGATCCCCATGCAGGCGATGTCCCCAGAAGAATGAAAACTGAAAAGAAAAACATCCATTTTAAAAATCACAATTAAGAGGTAGAAGAGTTATGCTGGACAGCAACTGTACGTTAGACTTTACGGTCTCTAAAAAATATTTTTATCTTGGCTGCATTAGTTGGGAAAGAGTACTGAAGAAAAACCATCTGGTTTTCATCCCAGTTGTAGTTCTATTTAAAGAAAATATACCAATCTCTGTATACAGCAGCAGTTTATTTATAGCCTTTACCCCCCCATACCTGTTTATGGTCCCTTCTCTACAAAGGGCACTAGATCTAAAAGTTATCACCTTCACCTGACAATGCTGAAGATTAAACATAAACATGAAATTCATGCCTTGTTACATTGGCTTTGAAGGAAAACCAATTAAAAGTTTAATCTTTCCTTTCTCAATTAATTCATTCAAAGTTCATAGCCCCCCTCCACGCCACAAAAATAAATTATACACATACATACAATCACTTATAGCTCAGGTCTCCAATAACCAGCCCTTACAATCTCTAACCAGGAGTGCAGTCTCAGATGTGAGCTCTGATCACTTAAGAAATAAAATCCAACCAATTTAGATTATACAAAAACAAACCATTAATATTCCCTTTTGCAAATATCCAGAACATAAAATTTATATTTTTCTTACAAATTAAAGCTATGCTTTTTCTAGCAACGGAAGCAGATGTTAGTCTAGGTTTTAGAGAATAAGCCGCTGTGCATGAAACGAGAAAGCATTTTCCTGTAAAACCAGTTCCTCAATTTCTTGTCCATAATTTTTAAGACACAACAATCTACAATTTAAGTTTTGTGAGGCAACATTTTTTGCACCTGGCAGGGGAATTTTTGTGGTTCCTCAGGTCTTATTAAACTGCTAGATATCTAATTGCAGCCACTGTGTGTGTCGTGGCATATTTATTTGGAGGGGTTATGGGATCCTATTGGCAGGAGTCTCACCGGTTCTTCTACCACCAGTAGGATTTTCAGACATGCCTAAGGAAGTTGCGTGAGACTCCCACTGAAAATCCATTGTTGTAAGTCTGAGCCAAATGGCCCTGTTCACGGAGTGATTTCTGATCCTAGGAAGCACCCACATTCATGCATAAAACAATTGGCACTATTTTAAAAAAAGTGAATTTTCATCATATCACTCTTGCTGTGTTAGGTAGGAATCACAAGGCTGTGGTGCAAATCAAAATACTGGATAATCACAGGTCCCCTCCAGGAATGTTGGTAGCAGTTTAAAATTCAGACACATGGAGTGAGATTTTCATAAGTGCCTAAAGGAGATGGGTACACAAATATTGTTCCAATGGAGGAAGTGTAGTGAAAAAAGAAATAGATCATTATGTAAACTAAGAGAACAACATATGGGCTGCAGGACAGAGAAAAGGAATTTTGTAATATGTGGTCAAGACTAGGATCCTTGAAGTATTATTTCTCAGACATGGGCATTCACCAGTCTGGATGGTTTGCATGGGCCAGACACAATGAAGGGGGCTTTCCCATCCTCTGAGTTCTGTCCAGTATTGAGACCACACAACCACCAGATGCTAACTTTCATTCACGAATGACCTCGGCTGGTTCTTAAGCCTAAGAAAAAACTAGCTTCCCATGATTCAATGGGAAGGGAATTTTGATCATCAACAGGCCCGAGTAGTCTTACAGATCAAGGCTAAGTGGAATGAGGAAAAAAAGCTGAAGAGCCTATTAAAACCATTTTAAAATCTAATTTAAAGAGTATACTCTGGTAGGATTATTTATTATAAATATTATTTTTGTCTTGACAAGATTACCTTTTTAAATGTACAATTTAAAAGGTAATACAACTGACATGACGGTGAACGAAGATCTTGAGATTAGAGAAAAAACTCATCTAGATCAGTGGTTCTCAAAGCTGGTCTGCCGCTTGTTCAGTGAAAGCCCCTGGCAGGCCGGACCGATTTGTTTACCAGCCGCGTCCACAGGTTCGGCCGATCGCAGCTCCCACTGGCCGCGGTTCGCCGCTCCAGGCGCCAACGGGGGCTATGAGAAGGGCGGCCAGGACATCCCTCAGCCCGTGCCACTTCCCACAGCCCCCATTGGCCTGGAGTGGTGAACCGCGGCCAGTGAGAGCCGCGATCAGCCGAACCTGCGGACGCAGCAGGTAAACAAACCGGCCCGGCCTGCCAGGGGCTTTCTCTGAACAACGCGGCAGACCGGCTTTGAGAACCACTGATCTAGATGAGTTTTCTCTAATCTCAAGATCTTTGTTCAGTCATGTCAGTTGTATTACCTTTTAAATTGTACATTTAAAAAGGTAATCTTGTCAAGACAAAAATAATATTTATAATAAATAATCCTACCAGAGTATACTCTTTAAATTAGATTTTAAAATGGTTTTAATAGGCTCTTCAGCTTTTTTTCCTCATTCCACTTAGCCTTGATCTGTAAGACTACTCGGGCCTGTTGATGATCAAAATTCCCTTCCCATTGAATCATGGGAAGCTAGTTTTTTTTCTTAGGCTTAAGAACCAGCCGAGGTCATTCGTGAATGAAAGTTAGCATCTGGTGGTTGTTTGGTCTCAATACTGGACGGAACTCGGA